AAATCCCGTGCCGATTATGAATTCGGGATTTTCACAACTAAATAAAATGTTCATCAAAAAGATAATTTTTATGCAAAAACACAATTTCAATTCGGGATTATTACAATTAAATGAAATTTTCATCAAAAACATTATTTTTATGCAAAAACAGCTTAATTCTATCAAATATGCAAAATCCCGCACCGTTTCGAAAACAAGTATCAACTCTTGACTTGGTACAAGTTCGGACAGGGCTATGACAACTGTATATTTATATTGAAAAGTACAACGTTTTATTTTTTTTATTTATTTCTTTTTTTTTTGACGATTTCCGAGTTTTTTACTTTAGACAACGTAGATCAATTTGATTATTTGGGGGGTAACTTATCAAAACTTTAGCTTTTTAAGCCACATAGCTAATGCGAAGTCAAGCCCACTAATCTATCTATCTATCGCCTTTGTCCTCTTTAATTTTGTACAGTCTCATGGGCATACTTCACCTACGCATGTACGATATGAAATATTATTTTGATTTCATCTTTCGTTACACATCAAAAGCAAAAGAAGCCGAACGCGCCCTCGTTATCATAAACAGTTACGCGGAGAAGGTGATCTTGCAACGACGGAAAGAGTTAACGCACACGTCGAAGCTCGAAACGGAAGGACCTTCCGTCGGTTTAAAACGCAAGCAAACCCTGCTGGACATTTTACTGAACTCAACAGTCGACGGCAAGTCGCTAAGCAATGTCGACATACGCGAAGAGGTGCACACATTCATGTTCGCCGGTCACGATACGCTGTCGTCGGCGCTAATGTTCTTCTTTTACTGCATATGCAGAAATCCCGAATGGCAGCAAAAGTGCTACGAGGAGATATGCAGCGTGTTCGGTATAGAAATCGGCGCGGTAGCTATGAGTCGCGAGCACTTGGATCGGCTGTACTATGTGGATTTGTGCATTAAGGAAACGCTGCGCATGTATCCACCGGTGGCGCTGATCGGCCGCAAAGTCTTAGAAGAGACTAAAATTAGTAAGTATAAATATTATATTTTTGGCGAAAATTTGTATTTCATTTCAGGTGTTTTTTTTTTCAATACTAGATGATCATCTCATACCTGCTGGCACAAATATTGGCTTCTCACCTTATGTGTTTGGGCGTCAATCGGAAGTTTTTGCCGAGCCAAACACATTCAAACCGGAGCGTTTCGAGACGGTGGCGTGTGAAAATAATTCAAAGCTAAATCCTTATATTTTCACCTCTTTTTCGGCGGGTCCACGTAGCTGTGTGGGCCAAAAATACGCCATACTGCAGATGAAAGTGTCAATTGTGAATATTTTATTAAGTTTTGACTTGACGTTCGAGGGTGATACGACTCACGAGCTCAAACTTTCAAACGAATTGACCATGCGTACGAAGGATCCGCTAATGTTCACGATACGAGCACGTGACACAAAAAGTGTAAATTAGTAAAATATTTTATTTATGACTTATGTAAGGTGTATAGTGAAAATTTAGGTTAAGTGCAATTAGTCTCTTGTTGGGAAACTAATTTGATATGGCATTTTAAACCAATAGTTCGTGGCTAATATTTTATTCGATTCATGCAAAGAGTCTAATATTGAAAACTTTAATTTTTTGTGGTTTTTATATTAAAAAATTACTCATATATCTTAGGATTACTATATTTAATATTTATTTCTGAATATAACATTTATTTGGACAGTACCGAAATTCTACAGGTGATTATGTAATTATGTATTTATACATGTACAGTTTTTTAATAAATATTTAAGTACTTGTTTTTATGAAAAAAACCATTATTTCGATATTTAAAAAAATTAAATTTTCATCGATAACATTATGTTTATGCAAAAACAGCTTAATTCCATCAAACATGAAAAATACAGTTCTTCGGGATTTCGGGATTATCACAAGAAAAATAAATTTTCACCAAAAAC